CTGCATCTCCTTGAAGCCAGCAGCCGTGAAGAGTGCCTGGTACTCAGAGGAGGTCCGTTCTTTCCCCTTACTGTGGAGCAACATCAGCATGGAGTATAGGTGGGCTTCTGGAGGCCCACATTTATCCTCATCGAGAACCAGTTCAACCACTAACACTCCACCACCTGTTACAATATATATGTATATATTTCACTGGCTTAACAAAGAGAAGACACCATAACATATTTCTACAGCATTGTGAAGCATGACTTCCATTGTTCCAGCCAACCGGGACTCCACAACATAAAGGCAAGATCCAGAGTAAATGTAATGCGACTCTTCCTGGGCTAACTCCAATCGCGGCTTATCATGCCGGTATTCACTTGAGATAACAGAAGCATGAAGGATGCTGTGAGAGGATGCATAGTTAGCAAAGGACTTGTGGGGGGGGGATTTCCCTCAGTACATGCTTTGGATTCAAAAGGTTCAACCCCTAGCATTCCAGAGCAAGGTGGGGAGAGACTCATTTCTGAGACCCTGCCAGAAATAGAGAAAAGCTAACACACTGTTTCTGGATTTTAAGAAAGGGTACGGCTACATTGGCTGGGAATAGCACCCATCGAGTCCAACCCCCTGCTCAATGCAGGAATACAAATCAAAGCAGATCTCCCAGGTGGTTGTCCAGTTTTCTCTTGAATGCCTCCCGTCTTGGAGCACTCACCAATTCCCAAGCTCACTGGTTCCACTGTTGTACAGCTCTAAAGCTTAACAGGTTTTCCCTTGATATTCAGCCTAAATTTGGTTTCCTTTAGCTTCAGCCCATTGTTACATGTCCTCGCTTCTGAGTTGATTGAGAATAGATCCTGCCCTCCCCCTCTCTATGACAGCCTTTCAGTTATCTGAAAAGTGTTGTATCACCCCTCACTCTTCTTTTCTCAAGGCTAAACATGGCCAGTTCTTTCAGTCTTTCCACATAGGGCTTGGTTTCCAGCCCTCTGATCATCCTTGTTACCCTATTCTGAATTTGTTTCAATTTTTCAGCATCCTTCTTGAACACTTTATGAGGCCTAACCAGTGCTGAATAGAGGGAGACTAGTACTTCATGAAATTTGGAGACTATACTTCTGTTAATATACCCTAAAATAGCATTTGCCTTTTTTATAGTCACATCACGCTGTTGGCTCATATTCATTTTTTAAATCTATAACAGCTCCAAGCTCTCTCTCACTTGTAATATTACTGAGCCAAGTGTCCCTCATAACTATAACTGTGCATTTGTTCCCCCCCCCCCAGATGTAGAACTTTGCATTTATCCCTGTTAAAATTCATTGTGTTGTTTTCAGCCAAGTGCTTAAGCCTATCAAGGTCATTTTGAATTTTGTTCCAAGGTATTAGCTATTCCACACAGTTTTGTGTCATTTGCAAATTTGATAAAAATTCCCTGCACTTCCTCCTCCAAATCGTTAATAAAAATATTGAAGAGCACTGTACCCAGGACTGATCCTTAGGGTACTCCACTTGTTACCTTCTCCCAGTTTGAGAAAGGACTATTGATAAGCACTCTCTGAGTATGATTCTGTAACCAACTGTGTATTCACCTGACATTTGTTCTTTCCAACCTACTTCTAGTTAACTTGCTAGACAGAATATCATGGGGCACTTTGCTGAAGTCAAGATATATTACATCTACAGCGCTCTCACTGTCTACCAAGGAGATTTCCTGATCAAAGAATGAGATCAGATTAGTCTGGCAGGATTTGTCTTTGACAAATCTGTGTTGGCTTCTAGTTCTTACTGCAATGTTTTCAAAGTGCATGCAGAGTGAATCCTTAATAATCAGCTCCAGAATGTTCCCTGGGACTGATGTCAGACTGACCAATTTGTAGTTCCCGGATTCCTCTTTTTTGCCCTTTTTGAAGATTGGGCCAACAATAGGTAAAGGTAAAGGTTCCCTTGAGGGACGTGGTGGCGCTGCGGGCTAAACCGCAGAAGCCTGTGCTGCAGTGTCAGAAGACCAAGCAGTCATAAGATCGAATCCACGCAACGGAGTGAGCTCCCATCGCTTGTCCCAGCTCCCGTCAACTTAGTGGTTCGAAAGCATGCAAATGCAAGTAGATAAATAGGGACCACTTCAGTGGGAAGGTAACAGCGTTCCGTGTCTAAGTCACACTGGCCATGTGACCACGGAAGATTGTCTTCGGACAAACGCTGGCTCTATGGCCTGGAAACGGGGATGAGCACCGCCCCCTAGAGTCGAACACGACTGGACAAAAATTGCCAAGGGGAACCTTTACCTTTTACCTAAAGGTTCCCCTTGACAAATTGTCCAGTCGTGTCCGACTCTGGGGGGGGGTCCTCATCCCCGTTTCCAAGCTGTAGAGCCAGTGTTTGCCCAAAGACAGTTTCCAGGGTCACGTGGCCAACGCGGCTAGACACGGAATGCCTTTACCTTCCCACCATGGTGGCACCTATTTATCTACTCAGATAGATAGCCAGCCAGTTGAGGCATCTTTGTCTCCACATTACTTTTTCTAACAAACCATTTGTATATTGCCATACTCTGAATTTCCTCCCTTTTCATCCATTCTGGAAGTCTGAGCAGCTAGTGGTGCTTTTCTTTGTCATACTGGCGAAATGTTAGGAAAAACAACCTTCAGAACATGACCAAAGAGCCCGAAAAACCCACAACAACCAACCATCAGTGCCTTCATAATTTGCTACCAGCATATCACCCCCACCCCCCTTGCATGTAAGCCAGCATTAGGGGGTTTCTTACCAGATTTTGGGGTCTATTCCCCTCTGCTATCCCTAAATGGATTTCCTGCAATCATACTCATATATTTTCTTTTTTACTGTATGTATTTCCAGAATACCGTGTTTCCCCGAAAATAGGACAGGGTCTTATATTAATTTTTGCTCCAAAAACGCATTTGGGCTTATTTTCATGTACAACAACATACATTTATTCAAATACAGTTGTGCCATCTTCCTCTGGTTGCAGCACAATGGTGGAGGGTGGGGATTCATTTCAATGGGGCTTATTTTTGAGGTAGGGCTTATATTACAAGCATCCTTAAAAATCATACTAGGGCTTATTTTCAGGTTAGGTCTTATTTTCAGGGAAACAAGGTAGAAGGGCCATGAATATGGTGAGTCAAAGCTTTGTTATCACACCTTGAAAACTGTAGTTTTGGCTACTCCTTCTGCATAAAGAAACATACCAGGTTTGCAAGCCTTATGCAGTTTGGTTAGCAGCTGTATACATTTTTCATCATTCCAGCTATGCAGGATCCTAGCCAAAATATATAGGTCAGCTTCAGGAACCGGATCTTTAAAAAAATCCCCTGTTAAAAAACAGACACAACGCTGTTTATTTCAGTGTATTGTCTTAAAGGAAGAATAAGCAGTTCTATCTTTCAGAAGTTTCTAGTTATAACCAGAGCTTGGAATACGACTTCCTAAAAAACAACTGGTAATGTTACTTGCTTGGGTGGGGGCAGGAGACAGGTATCTTTCTCAATATCTTATAAATATACATATTTGCCACTCATGTAGGACCACAGTATCTGCAGGGGATCGGTTCCAAGGCCCCCTCTGCAAATGTCAAAAATTGTGGATAATAGTGAACCCTATTTATAACATTGTCTCTTGTTCCCTCTAGTGGCCAGATCTGGTAATTACATCATGTAAATATATGCTTCTGGATTTGTCCTTTTAATATTTTTAATATTGTCATACTGGGGATGTGAAACTCTGGATATTGACACCAAAGATACAGTGGTGCCCGCATAGCGACGATAATCCGTTCTGGATAAATCGTCGCTATCTGGAAACGTCGCTATACGGGGCCAAAAACCCCATAGGAACGCATTAAACCCT